AGATCAAGTCATCATTGTCGAGTGCGTTCGTGGCCACCGACGACGCGCTGCGCGCCCTCCTGCTTGCAGTCTTTCAGTCGGGACACGGGAAAGCGAACCACGTGGGTGCGTGCACGATGCTGGCGTATGCAAAAGGAAGCACGCTGGTCGTGGCCAACGGTAAGCGCATTATCGTTCAATGTCCAATCCACGAACAATCATCGTAGCCGGCGACGTAAGGGCGGTGCTAGCGTCGAACGATGCCTCGAGGGGGCTGGTGGCAAAACCCCTGAGCACTGACCACAACGCCAAGCACGAGTCCGAACAAGCTCGGTTGACCGCAGCTCATCCAAATGAGCCCGACGTGTTCAAGTGCAAATTGCACCGCAACTCGACTCGGGTGAAGTCGTGCCGCGTCAGAGGCATCTTGCAGCCCACGCGGTAAGAACTTCGACAAGTGAATGCATGCTCACAAGCTACTCGTAGCGCGTTGGGGGACTTTGCCTTCAAGTATGAAGAATTCAACACGTTACATGCCAGTTTTCAAAATGGAGGCGACGGTTTCGTCATCCCGCAGCCATATACACCACCGTACATACTGGCAGATCCGGAAACCCAAGTGCATACGCTGACGGATGCCGACCAATTTCTCATTTTGGGTACACATACGTATATGCATATATATATACTACGTAGTATTAAATTATGATATGTATATATATGTATATATATCAATGTAGTTTACGTACTTGTAACCAGTGAACCTGATACGAAGTCGCGCAATTATGCTTCGTGAAAGTATATATTGAGAATGGACCGGTGCATACATTTAGGAAGCGATGGACTATGGGGTAGCTTGTCCAACGAAGAAGTACGACAATAATATTATTTTTATACTTTAAAACCATGGCATTAAAAATGTTATTTGTAGGCGGTTGAAATTGTCGCCAATTATGCATCTCGTGGCGTGCACTTCCGAGCCGCCCAAGCATTGGTCAACCGTGTGATCGCCAAGAAAGTCGAAAAAAAAAAGTACGTTGTAGTACTGATTGTTTCCCTAAATATTAGTATTATTTTCCCTTTCTCGATTTGATTATCGACAACTCCCTTTCTCGGATTTGAAGAATGATTTGTAACTTCACAACTCAACCGATGCTACTGTAGTGTGACTTGGAACGACATTGCCGATTTGAAACCAGGGAAAGAACGACGTAAAGTCCACGACGACACAACCGTCGTGATATTATTTTTCAAGTAGTGAGCAACAAATGTGCCCCAAGAACAACATACATAATCGAGCACTAATAATTCCATGTAAAGTCTGTATATACTGTCAAAGGATGGAGAACGGTAGAGGGGAAAGAGGTGTGATGGAGAGGTGACGAGTGACGAGAATAGGGAAAGGGCAACATGGGTAGAAAAGAATAGAATAAGGCAGATACAATGTGGATGAGAAGACTCGGGTAAAAGAAGGCCGAGGCTGTCCTCACTTAAGTGGCTCAAGCTTGAGGAGACAAAAGTACGTAGAAGTGAGGAGACTGAAAAAGGCCAAAGTGAATGCTTATTATGATTGGTGGTAATCGAGGCAGGCAAATTGCGCATCGTGACATTTACTACACCTTTTTTCGGTTAATTTCTGGACCTCACCATACTTTTTCGCGAAATAAACAAGCAATTCGTGGCGGTTCCACTTCTTTCGTTGTATAGTCGTTATATTTCGCCTGCAACCAAGTAGGTTGCAGTATACTAGTATTTCAAGCGATGCTCCTTATATTTCACTGCGTATGCGCTCAATTCAGCGAGTGCTCAATATATTTCGGGGTGCAATCCATATATTTCGAGCGAAAATAGAAAGGAATCACTTGAACCGAAGATCTCGCGGGCTTTGGCTCATTCTTCAAAACGACGGTCGATGGAACAAGCGCTTGCCACACCAGTACGTTCCAATACATACCCTATGTACCTAGTTGATGTGTTCATAGCCACACCGCATCCCCCATCGAGATTCTTTGGTCCACTATAAAGTGCCAGAGCAAGACGTTGCTGCGCGAGCGCCTTGCTGCGTTTATGGGACCTCGTCCTGACGGACAAACTCGTGACGAGTTTCGTATGGCTTACCTTGAGCACATCGCCGACGAAGTCATTGCAGGTATGGATCGCCGATGAAAATGTAACTTATACATTTACAAATGTCGACGTGAATCGCCTGCACCGTTGCTCGTTGCGGCTCGAATACTTCTACGGCCGCGGAGAACATGGAAGACATGGAAGTTGGAGCCTGATCGACCAAAATTTGCATTTTACGTCGAAAGTCAGATTGATTTACTTTTTATATTCAAATATATCGATTGCACCCCGAAATATAACTATAATCCGACCGTTTCTCTGCTGGGAGTCACTTTCAATGATTACGCCGGCATCGCCAGTAACATCCAAGGGCGCAGTTAGAAATTACTACCTCCTTACGAAAATAATTGATTGATTTGATATTTTTTGTGATATCTCAAAGAGTTTTAGGAATTATTACATTCCAAAGGTATCATCAGGTGATAGCAGAGGGTTTTGCAGTTGTACTAGTAACTTGTGGGATTTCGCTTATTTCAGAGCATTTCGTCCAACATTTTTCGCAGCATAAAGTTTGATACAAACTTGAATATTAAACCCGTGCAATTGATCACATGTGGCAGATTTGAAAAATCATATATTCAAACTATACCATACAAACAATAAGTACTGTACACCAAACATTAAATAAATATTTGGCGTATGCACCTGATCAGTATTTGTATGCAATACCTGATTCAATTGTATGCCCACGCGAGGTTGTTGACTGTGAGCACGGCCAGGAGCCCATGAACAAGGACGACTTCGACTTGTACGTATTGCTTTTGGCAGCCGAAGTTGCTCGCGATGTGGAGATGGCCGCCATCTCAAGTTCAATCGAGAGCCTGTGTCTTGCCAACAACTGCGATGGCGATGAGTGCAACGACGACCAAGAGATCAGCTGGACCGATCGAGCTGACTCTATTTTAGAAATTATCTGAGTGTTTTGATTGGATATTAACTTGTTCAATTGACATAATATTTTCACTCTTGTTGGTATAAACTTATATTTTATCCAATCAAAACTCGTAAAAGCAAATCGATCAATCATTTCCGAGTTCAACTTTTTTCAAATCAATCAATCATTTTCCTAAGGAGGTGGTACGTACCAATACGCTGCTTGGCAGCTGCATGATACAACCCTCAGAGAAACGGTCGGATTACAGTCAGCAGCATCGGTTGGGTGGTTGTATCGCGTATTCTATAATGTGGATTATTCGTTGATACCAGACTAGTTTGCTACTTACTGTTAACCTGGTTTTCGTACAACTCGTATATGGATATCACGTGCTTGTCGTCATATTTATACGGTACCCTTGGTGTTTTGATTGCCGAACAATTGCCGTCAGATTGCTTGATTTTTACGTGTACGCATTGCAATGCTTGCAGTGCCGAATCGAGCGCAACAAGCAGACTACTACATCCCTAACGAAGTGTTTTACCCCCTATTTGCGAAAAAAGCTGTCATGGTATTACGTAAGATCGCAAGCGATACCAACATCGACGAAGCCAAATGGTACAACACGCTGCGCGAGTGTGCTGTGTCCGCGCAAGACTGTGATTGGCAGCCCCATCTACGTCGTCGATGGGATAGCATCCCTTCCAATGAATATGCAACCTAACACGTCGAACAGGGCACGGACTTAGTGCTGCACATTCGGCTGTCGAATCGGTACGAGGATGGTAGATGAGTGTCGCCCTGTTGTGGATGGCGGCTTCATCCATATCCGATCATGACGAGGTGGTCCTCAACTGAGGCCACTGGGTGCCGACCATTGGTGAACCGACACGGAAATGCTTAGTATTACTACATACACGTCCCAGCGACGGCGGATAAACAAGTCCAATCATCTCCCAAAGGAAAAGCGCGTCGACCACTCCGAATTGGCGCATGCGACCCATGACCTCCGGATGCTGGACACATCTATACCAAGCAGCTCGGAATGGGGATCTCTTTCGAGCGGACCACCGACACTAAGCAGCGGAGGCTGGGGGGCCAACATCACCCCAGTGGACCTTCATTGGTGGTGAAAGACGATCAACCCCCTTTTGATCACCTGTATGGACAGAACGTTCCTGGTGTGTTGTCTCAAAAAGCGAGAAACATATGAGGACAACCTACGGGCGAATGCGCGACGCATGGGTGGCGAGTGGCGACGGAGTGCTGTGGGGTGGATCCTTTCCACTGACCGCAGCCTCGTGAAGGCTACATGCACTTATGTGTGGCAAGTGCATGTGGAACAAACAACCCAGTGAGGATGACTACCGCAACCGCATCATGGATGTAGTCGGGCAACCAGCTACCAAGTGGACACCCACAAAGTCAGACATACAAACTTACTGTCGGGCGCTGAGCGTTGATCCCCATGGAAACGTGACCAGTCGCCTAGTGTCATTTATGGAGCGGGTCGACGATGTGATCGATGAAAACGGTTTACGCCAACAACTCAAGGATCCGACCATGTTGAGAACCTTCGTGAAGGTGGTAGCAGCGCATGTCACTCCCAGTTACCTGCGCGACAGAGTGGACGAGCTAATGAAGACCGTACCGGCTAACGACCTGGTGGCCTTTGCGGGCATCCTACGCGAACAGCTCGATCGAACGCATAATGTAGACATGGTCAATCAGCAAAGCAACAGCTATGGTTCATAGCGTGGACGCAAAGAAGACGACCAAGGGCGCCGCATTACAAAACATGCGAAGATGGCCAACCAAGCTGTTCGAGACTAGCGGGAATCCCGAGAAAATTGCCCACGTCCAACAGGTGGATACATCAAGCCAGAACGAAGTGCAGCGGTATGGTCCCCGTCGACTCAAAAGCGAACGGGGGACCCAACAGCCACGAAGTACGGACCGCAAGCAAATTCGCACCCAAGATACGATGAACGCCCTCCCAAGCTGTGTGTGATGAAGCGCGCCCTCGACTTGCACCTGGACGAAAAGACCGCTTCATGTTGTGCTTTGTCTGTTGGCAGACAAAGCAACTGACTTGATGAAGTTTCGCTCTTTCAACTGTCTGAGAATTCGTAGAACATACATGATTCGATACAGGCGCTGCCGTCGCGAGACCACAAGCACCAAAGCGAGCTTCATGATATATGTATGATACATGAAGCATTTTGGTGCTCGATGCCATTCAATTTTATCCAATGAAACTGTTACCCAATAGTATTAGGGAATTTTTTTATGTATATTCGAGGTTGTTGGTATCGTCAACTGTCCAGTCGAAGGTACATTTACAGGTTCCCATGTCATAAGTATGGACATTACTTTTTGACTAACGTTACTGTATAAGGTACTGGTTCGAGTCCCTGAGGCGACATCATTTTTTCGAAGTAGTTACTAGTATACCATAGGTACTATTGTACTACTAATAACATGTTCAACCCCTGTGCCGGACAGTTGACGTACTACGGTGTTGGGGTTTCTTCTTGCGTCCAAAGGGTATTAACTAGTACTACGTAGTACTTACTACCGGTAGTACTAAGTAGTACTGTAGTGCTTCATCTCCTTCGTATATGTCAATCATACCAGTATCAATTCTGAATATCGATTGGCTATAACACAATAGTCATCGCTAGGGCTACCCTAGCGATGACTATTGTGATTTACAACGTAGAATAGTACAATCATCTGGTTGGTTGAATGAATCCTGAAATTTAGATTCTAGTAGTATACCATCGGATTGGTCTATATTAATCCTATAATTTAGCTACATGTGCAGTCTGATTGGTTGATATTTATTTATCCAGGAATTTAGATTCGTGGGAAAATGAAATTCTGTGTTTTTGTCACTTGGAATGCCACCATGGTACAGTAGTGAGCCAGAACTGTGAAATACTACTACCGTATTTGTCGTTGATCTGCACCATGAAATACAAAACGCGAATATACTCTATAATTCAATACAATCTTGAATCAATTATACAATTCGAGTATTTAAATAGTTCCTTCAAATTTTATTTCATGGTGCAAAGGTACGACAAATACGGTATACTACTACGTAGTACTGTACTACGTAAGTTTAGAATTGTGGGTTCTACTCAAAATATCCATGTTTGATTGGTTGAATCGAACAAAGAGGCGGTTCCAGAACAGATTAAGACCACTGTATTAGTATAATATATATAAATAGAGGTTCCGTTGAGCACGAGAAGTTGCAATAGGAAACTTGTCCATCGAAGCGAACGCCGACGCCACCATCACCGATACCGGTACGCTCAAGGAAACGACTCCACAGCGCACTATCATCGAGAGCAATCACGTGCGCACATCCACCCCGAGTGCAACCGTACTTGATTGTTTTTGCCTCCCGTCTGCTCATCGTGATTGTGTTACGCTCCGACATGCTTAACTGAGAGCTTATATAGCTTATATACTGGTAGACTTGAGTAACTAAGTAGACCTCTTGTTCATTTTCTCAATTTTTGTTCAGTTACGAAAGTCGAAAATAATATCGGGCAATTAAATCGTATTGATTTGTGTAGGTGATCCCGTATTCAGTAATTCCGTATTTACTTTGAAAACATGGTAGAAATTGGGCAAATGCTACGTCATTGAGTCACTGAAGAATTCACCTTATGAATTGCAATATGGCTCAAGGATGCAGAAGTAATGCCTCTGTGTAACCGTGCCCATCATCCGGTTACTAACCGGATGACTAGTCACAACCTCTTCAGTCCAAGGTGTCTCTTCGCACACCAACAAGTCCTCTTGCGCAACCAGGGTGTTCCTCCGACGATACATCAATGGTTGGTTGCGCGTAGCTTAGTGATAGCGTAGTAGTCTTAACGCTATCAATTCCTTCTCGATTCTACCATCTCCTGCGTCTTCCTCTGCGCACGTTCACACTTGGTAGCACTCCACGTTCGTCCAGTCGACCAACACTATGTCCTCCACCAACACCGCAGCCCACCAGGCGGTTCTCGCCCTTTTGCGTCGGGGTTTTGGCGACAACGATACCGCGCTACTCCTTGGCGGGATGACTCCCGATAACCAAACTCGCCTTGTGGAAGGCATCGGTAGCACGATTGATCTCTCGGTTGCCGAAGCTACGGCCGCCCAGAAGGCATTGGAAGAACAAGTCGCCCAAATGTCTTCGCACGGGCCAAACCTTGAAGATTCTCTTCGCATCGCTCGCGAGAAAATCGCGACTCTCGAAGACCAAGCCTCTACCATGTCGTCCCATGGTTGCACCCTCCAAGATTCTCTGCGAATCGCCCACGACGAGATCGCGCGCCTCACGCGCGCTTCGGAGCCGGAAACACCATCGACTTCTCGCCTAAAGTTGATCAAGCTGGATGTGGCCAAATTTGGCGGAGCGGAGTCAGACAAACTCCTCCGCTGGCTTTTACAAGTCAGCACGGCTGGTGACGCTCAGCGTATCTCCGACGACGCCACCCGCGTAGCTTTCGCGATGTCGCATTTGAAGGGTCGTGCGGAAGATTGGGCGTTCTCCAAACGCTTGACGGACCGCCACTGCTTCCCATCTTTCGCGGTCTTCGAGACCGAACTCAAGGCAATGTTCCTGCCACCCAACAGCGACTTTCGCTATCGCTCGCAATATCTGGCTTGCAAGCAAGGGAAACGCTCCCTTCAAGAATTCATCCATGATCTTCGCTTCCTGGCTGCGAACATTAACGATGAAGAATCACTCCCAGAGCCCATTCGGGTGACCGTTTTCATGGACGGTCTCAACCAAGGCCCGGCGCACACACAGTTGTTTCGCGCCTACCCGGACACCTTTGAAGAAGCCGTCCGAATCGCGCTTTCGGAATCATTTCCCTCCTCCTTCGCGCACGCACTGACATGGATGTCTCCATGCTCGCTCAGGCATCGGACGACCGCATGTGTTTCAATTGCGGTCGCCTGGGACACTTCTCCCGGGCATGCCCGGCCCCTCGCCGTGTAGCGTCAGCCGCCCGGTTCCTCCCGTACCGCGCCCGATACCCCCTCGCGTCGCCCTCCGAGCGGTCCACCTAACCGCTTCAATCGTGAACGCCATGGTGGCTCACGCCCACC